TAAAAAATTACAAGAAATGCAAAGTTTATAATAAGGTTAATAGAGGACACCCTCTGCAGCTGGCACAGGAGAGAATAGGTCACTCTCCTGAAAGCAGTTTCCTTACCTCCAGGTCGCTCATGGGCTCCATCTGTGTGCAGTAACATTGCGATGGGCATTCCAACATTTTTCGACCGTCCAGCTACAACCACATTCTTTCCCAGGGTTGGAATGCCTGTGCAAAAATTAAAAGCAGTGCTCGATGGTCTTGGAATGAGCACCAAGGAAAAGGATGGCCTGACTGAGGACAGGAGCCTCGTCTGATAATGAAGGATGTCACTAAGCCTACTGCCCTGGTCAACTGGACCTATCACCTGCTACCCTCAGTGAGGACCAAAAGAAAACTAGAAAAGCCCGAAGTAAGCTACAAAAATGTTATATGAATGTGCACAATCACCACCATTAAAGCTTAAGTTTCCTTCATGGAGGCTTCTGGACTAAACTGCAAAAAAAACTTAGAGGTAACTGCCTTGAAAAAGAAGCTCGGGCAAGTAAGTCTACAGGTTGGGGTTGCAAGCACCCACTCTTGCTACCATCTGAGCTTATCATTTGCAATCATCACTTTTATAATACCAACAGACATGCATATACCTACCAGTTCGCTTAATAATTTCCCACACACCCCACGGGGTAGCCGGTAACATGGAATACTGGTCCAAACACATTCTCCCAACATTAATCACATGAAAGCCATCAACATCCTTGTCTGGAGAAACAGCATTGCAGATCTTTCTCTCATCAATATGCTCTGAAAAAGCAATCAGAGCGGAGGCCTTAAAAACACCCACTTATATCATTTGTCTCAAAAACTTACTCCCCTTCTACATTCACCTCCATGATTTATTTCATCTACACAGAAACATCAAGCAAACCTGAATGCAAGTATCAAGGCCAACCTCCTTTCATATTGCTTCCCTCCATTGTCTTCTGTATCAAGATCTGAATACCAAATCAATGAATAATATTCACCTGGAAGAGGCAGCTGAACAAGGAGGCCATCTACATTATCATCATTATTTAGTTTATTGATTAAATTCAACAGTTCTTCCTCTGAAATTGAAGCTGGCTTCACAATTGTCTCACTGTTGATGCCTACAAAAAAAATTTCACAGTTAAAAGAAAAAAACCCAGAACTAATGAGCAATGCTGTTACCTGCCAGTCTTCTACCATCACACTTCCCCAATACCCACCCCACCCCCAATAGATGCAAAGCTTGAGTAAACCCACAAGGAACCTAAAGAAGTAACTTCTCAAGTTTATACACTAGAGACAAGCATGACAGCTTGTATGCTTTATGCTATGCAATCCTCACTAATCTCATTTTATAGACAAGGGGACTGAGACTCAGCAAAATTGAAACACAAATCAGCTGGTACTTAAGCCAGTCTTTCTAGTCCCAAAGTCTACAATTCTTCCCACTGCACTATGGCACCCCCAATGTCTTAGAAAGCTACAGCTTGCTATTTTCTAGAGGCCCTAAGAGTTTTTCAATGGAACAAGAGGCCTCAGTCCTCAGTGGTTATCAGCATGTATCAAGGACACACAGTTCAGTAACACTGCCCAATTACACCAGTAGCGTCACAGCCCTTCAAAAGGGACAGGCTCCCAGTGCTCACACCATTAACTTTAATGAACAGGCACAGCTGAGTCCACCCACAAAGGATCTCCCAGAAGGCTCTGGGACTGAGACCCAGTGAGACCCAGGACATAAATCTTCCTTAACCCAGACCTAAGTCTCCTGCATTCAAAACCTCAGCCACTTCTAACTATATGATTTCACTGGCTTACAAAAATTGGTAAAGAAAGAAATTAAAAGCTATTTCTCAAAAGCCAGAGTCCTTTCCATCACATCCCTGTATTCTAGGTTACATCACTAAGATCTCCTCAGTATTCCCCTGGACAACCCTGCCTTAAACAAAATAGCAAATGCTCAAACATCCCACTCAGTGACTCATTATTGATCTAGGAAAGCAAATGTGAATTATGTAGCCTGTCAAATGTTAAGGCTAATATAACAGAATTTATCTATCTTACATTCCAGAATATACTGAGATCAATCTTATCCCTTCTGCCTGTCTGTAAGCCTCCCCAATAGATACTCTGGTTGCTTTAAAGTTTTGCATACAGTTCAATACATTAGTCTCCTCTACTCCCATTTGCTTATCAGAAAAAGAAATAATTACAAGGAATTTCTCTCAGGTAAGCCTCAACCTAACAGCAATCAGGGTCTGGGAGTGATACCTACCCACATCTGCAGCAGCCCTGGTTTTGTTGAGGACATAGGAGTGGCTGGCAGGATTCTCGCCAACCAGAACCACACTCAGGTGAGGCCGCCTGTTGCCTGACGCTACCCATTGCTCCACTTCTTGCTGCACTTCCTGCTTGATCTGCTGGGCAAGTTTCCTTCCAGAAATGACAATGGCTTCATTCCTGCAAAAGGGAAATAGTTTGAATTTCTGTACAAAATGAAGATGAGGTTTTACTAGTAAAAACCCCAAACTTTAAAGTTGAGATAAAAACGAATGATGCTGGCCCTGAGGGGGGGCTGAAATCTGAAGGACATGTTTAAGTCGCTAAATTTGTGTCCCATTACATGTTTAGGGACTAGTTACAATCACTAATCTGAAGCTCAGACAGTTTAAATAACAGTAGTACTTGGCAAAGTTGGGTCTCATATTGTCCTTCTGGATGCCTCCTGATTGCTGACAAATTGACAGGCAAAAAAAAAAAAAAATCATTGTTTTAAATTGTATTTCTTTGACCCCTCATCACTATTAGGTTAAATCATTTTTCCTATTACTTACATGCTATTTGTAGTTTGTGTTTTACCTGCATTGTTATTATCTAGTCAAATATTTCACATCATTTCCCAGTTAGTCGCTTTTAATTTTTATGATGTTTTAAGTACATAAATTGTTATGCAGTTAAACCATTCAACAACATCAGACAGGTCAACCCTCAAATGCTTACTGCTCCCTCTCACCCCTCTATGGAAGGCCTCCCTGACAATAGGGGTTGGGCGGGGCGCTGGAGAAAGCTGCACCTCCTAGGTGGCTTTGCCTCCCATCCGCACCTAGCAAACCAGGAGGGAGTGTCTGAAGCCAAGGTCAACAATTTCTAGGTCCACTGACAATTCAGTTAGTACAAAAGCTTAGTACAGTAGGAGCTGTGGTAGTTAATAAGGCCAGTAAGAGCGTCTCTCCCTCACACCCTAGACCCAAATTCACACTACAGGACCTGTTAATGGAAGCAGAAGGAAAAAGACACAGAAGGATGCAGAACAAACAGCAGCAGTCACATTCCTGGTAGAAGACAGGATGAGAAAACTGCTGGGATGGGAGGGGACAATGGAAAAATTCAGAGTGAGCTAGAAGAACCTTCAGTTCCCAAAATCATGTTCAGATCTCTGAAAGGTTACTCTTCCCAGTAAGAACAGGTTATGCAACTCTTTCTGAGTTCCAATGCAGAAGATGGCTAGTTTTCTTATATCTATACATATCCTTATAATAAAGCTCCCAATAAAGATGGATAATCATCTGTTCCCTAAATAAAATGATCTCATTGAAAGCAAGTCTTTCCCTTCAGATTTTTGCCCTTGACATCCTGGAGAAATGTTCCAGTTACAAGATCAATGAAACATTTGTAATATTGAAACAATTTCCTTAACATATTTAGTCCTTAAAGATAACATCAAGGTAAAAAAAAAAAAAGATAACATCAAGGTACTGGATGTCTTGTAAGGCCAGCTATGATTAATTCTCAAGAGGACTGTTAGTTAAAATGGAATTTTAAAGCTTTTGCAGTCTTCAAGCCTTCAAAACAGTCACTTTTCACTTGCATTATGATTGCCTACTCTAACTATATATATAGATATAATTCACAACTTCCTTTTTAATCTAAAATTGATTTATTTATGTATATAAGAGCTGGGGTACAGGCCAGAGTTACAGTGAAAGGATTCACCAGAAACAAAGCAGGGAACAGAACAGGAAGACTGACTGAAATACACTGCTGAGGGGAGCAGCAGGAGAGACAGGAGAGGTCTGCTTCACCATGTGGGTCACCTCCCTGGCTGAGGATTGAACTCATGCTGCAGGGGGCTGAGGATAGCTTCATAGTGCTGTGCTTAACCCCTTGTGCCACCAGGGAGGGCCCATTCTTCCTTTTTTGACAAGGGATACTTTTTCTTCTCAGGAAGCTTTTTTTTTTAAGATTTCATTTATTTGCACGTAGAATTGGGGTGTAAGCCAGAAGTATGAGGTGGGGAGGGGGTTGTTGGTGGTATTAAGAGAATTTACCAAAGCCAAAATGGGGGCACAGAACAGGTGAATTACACTGGGGTAAGGGGGTCCATGGATAAACAGAGGAGGTCTGCTCTGCCATGTGGGTTAGTTCCCTGGCAGGGGATCGAACTTAAATCTAAACCTTATATTAATCTGAATTTGCATCTAGTGAGGTATTGAGGTATCTTTTTTTATAGCACC